ATTGCATAGAGAAGGGTTTACCTCCTGTAATGTTTGTTTTGCTGTGTGTGCCCCTGTTCAGAAGATTTCAATTCACTTTCTGTCCCTCTGACAATTGGATTTTGAAAATGTTGGGTTGTCGTGGAAACAAGGATTGGTGATAAAGCTTCAGTGGAGCCATCTTTTTCCCATGATAACTCTTACAGGAGTGAATTTCCATTCCTAGGGGTAGATTTCCTCTCACTTCCTGTTGCCTCAAAGACAGTAAGTGAGATTAAATCTTTCTAATGAGGATACAGACAACAGTAATAACCTCATAGTTACATAGTACATAGTATTTGAGGTTGAATAAAGACATTAGTCCATCAAGTCCAACCTATTAGGATCTCATTCTAGGAGTACCTGTACCCCTGTATATTACGGTCCCTTAAGAAATCGTCCAAAAGTTTCTTGAACAATTCCACATTCTTTGCTGAAATCACTGTCTGTGGCAGTGAGTGACAGACCCTAACTGATCTTACTGTGAAGATATTTGTTCCCAAGCCCTGTGTGAGCAAGCTCAAAATGAGTGATGCACTAGTTTATAATACACCTGAGCTAAATTAACCCCTCCCCCTAACAAGAGAACTGCAACCAAAAATCAATATATCCCAAACAGTTCAAATCCAATGTTTTAACGCCACATAGCTACCAGGCACTTTGTTCCCAAGCCCTGAGTGACCCGGAAGAAGAGGTGGGCACTTCCGTCTGCATGTCTGAGGCCTGGTTCACACCTGTACGTTTTGTAGCGCGTTCAACGCTCTACAAAACGCTCAAACACTAAAATCCCATTGTTTTCTATGGGTATGGTTCACACCTTTCTGTATTTTCAGCCCGTCTGAACGCGCTACAAAACGGCCTACGCCCAAAGAAGTACATGTACTTCTTTGGGGAGTTTTGGACTCGCGTTTCCATTGGGATACAGCCAAGTAGCCCTCGGAAACGGGTGTTTGTCGCATGTTTTTTTTACCGTGAATCGCGGTAAAAACGTGTGACGCGAAACGCGCGACAACGCGCATATTCAATACGCCTAGGTGTGAACCCAGCCTAACATGAGCCAACTTCCTGTAATGTACATAAAGCACTATGAACCAGACCCAAAAAGGCGGGTACTCCTCGTCAGCACGAGCGCAGTAGCATTACAACTACCCCTGCTGTACAGTAATAGCCTCCGTTTGTAAGTAGGAGTCGTATGCAAGTCGGATGTATGTAACTCGGGGACTGCCTGTATACTCTATAGCTTGCATTTTAAACACCAACCCATCCCTGCACTCTAATCTCTTGACAAAATCATTCCCCTTATCACTACTTCACACTCTTGTCCAGCATGTTTTATTATATATTGTTGAACACTCTTTAACAGTCACTGCACTGAAACTGTACAGAGGGCCCTAGACCCAAAATATATAAGGATGAAAGTTATATATATTGCTTAGCATGGCACTAATATGAAAACAGTCTAGCATTGATACTGCAGTCCCTGCACCCCTATCCACGGGAGCAGTAAGGCTGGGTTCACACCTGGGCGTTACTATAGGCGCGTTCTATCAGCTCGTTTTTTAGTTCAGTGAAACGCGCATTAAACGCTGGTTTTTATACCTCCCTGGCGGTATGATTTATTTTTTTCTCTATCTTTTTTTCTTTTAAAATGCCCGCCGGTTCCGCCCCCTGCGACGCGGACGCTCGCAGGGGACGGAACGCGGAAGGCGGCAGCGGCCGGAGGACACAGCGGGGATCACGGACAAGGTAAGACCTACGCTGTATTCCCGAGTGTAGCTCGGGGTTACCGCTTTGTTAACCCCGAGCCACACTCTGGAAAACCAATGGATATCGGAAATACGTCCCAAAAGAAGCTCCTGTACTAGTTTGGGCGTTTTCAGCGCGTCAAAACGCACTGAAATACGCCCAGGTGGGAACCATGCCCATAGGAAATTATGGGATTTCACTGCTTGAGCGTTTTTCAGCGCTTCGATCAGCGCTGAAAAACGCCCAGGTGTGAACCCAGCCTTAGGGTTTGTTTGAATTAGCAGAATTATTTTATTGTATTTAAACCAATTTTATATGCTTGTTACTTATAGTCTGTCCAAAACATCCTAATTTGACCTATATATTTAGACTACAGGCTCTTGTGCTTTCAGAAAATATTTCATTCTGAGGGGGATTTAACTAATCTTCATGCCTAAACTTTGTGCCTTAACGTGTGCAAAAACGGCTCTGGCAGCAAAAAGGTCATGGAAACCTGTAGAGGGGGGGAGGCGGCGCACGTATCTTAATGTTACACAAGCGCTCGGCCGGCTATAGAGCCGGCCGAACGCTTGTATGGAACAGCCGGTAACAGCTGTTTACATTCTCAGCAGGATTGAGAAATCACGTACATGCATGTCCACCAGCTGGGTAGAGGTTGCCGTCCAGTGCTCTCGGATGGATGCTGTGGGGTATGTATGTGGTAGGTGAGCTATATGGTATGCAGCCCTAAGAAACAGGAGGAGATGCCTGTAGACAGTACAATAATAAAAACACACACAAGGGCGCAATAACCTTGATGGAGTATATTTTGGAGACTCCCTGTCTCTGTGTCAAGAAGGGGGGAAAAAAGGGGATGGTGCACTTACATTTTAATCCAGGAACTGGACAAAGGGTGGCCTTAATGGAGGATCGAGTGGACCAGTGTGTGTTGTTGCTCCACGATGCTGGTGGGCACTTTCTGGCCGTATACCAGCATTGTGGAGCAACGACACACACTGGTCCACTTGAGCCTCCATTAAGGCCACCCTTTGTCCAGTTCCTGGATTTAAATGTAAGTGCACCATCCCCTTTTTTCCCCCCTTCTTGACACAGAGACAGGGAGTCTCCAAAATATACTCCATCAAGGTTATTGCGCCCTTGTGTGTGTTTTTATTGTTATCCCATAGCTCTTTCACCTACCAGCTGCTACAGTACGAACGTGTCCCGTGGTAATATTGCAGCCGGCAGGAGGAACCACAACGCACAGGGGGAGAAGTTTTGTCTAGGAGCCAGATCTGTAGTTCTGCAAAATAGAGAAGATTGGACTTGCCCCCCCCTTAGACAGTTGAAGAGGAACTTCCCCCTTATCTTAAAAATGACAACAAATGCACCTTTCGATATCTACAAACATGTAAATACAGTGCCTTACGAAAGTTATCACCCCTGTTTTATTCCATTACAACCTGCAATTAAAATGTATTTTGGGGGTTTGTACAATGTGATGTACATAACATGCCTCCAACTTTGTAGGTGTACAGTCTGTACTCAACAATGGGGTTGTATACTGTACCCTGCCCTGTGCAATCCATACTAAGGCCTTGTTCACACCAAGCGCGGAGCAGATCCAGACCAGAGCAGGTGCAGACCGGATCAAAACTGCATCCAATGTATTCCTACGGTATTTTGACCTCCAGTTCACATCGCAGACCAGATCCAGAGCAGGTGAAAAAACTGCGGCAAGCACTTTTTTACCTGCTCTGGATCTGCTCTGGAACACATCAAAAACGCAAAAACGCATGCAAGTGCCTGAAAGCCCATGTTAACCACTTGCCGTTCGCCCGTTATAAAAAAAACGGACGGACGGCACTGCAGCATTGGTGGGTTGTCGTCTCCGGACGGCATTTTTTTTCTGCAGGCGCGCACGGGCAGAAAAGACCCGACCAAAGCAAACACCCGGTACCGGGTGTTTCACATATAGACGATCGGCGGCTCCATAGCCCGCCGATCGTCTATATTGTTTTAACCAAAACCGGCCCAGAGCGCATCAAAAACGCATCACAACCCACTGCACTGCGTGTAGCTTACCGGATCTGCTCTGCATTTGGTGTGAACAAGGCCTAAGGGAGCTACTCAAGAGGCTTGAAAATGGGTTGCTCACTAAACACATTGCCTAGCAACCAAAGGCCTGGAAGTGGACACCGAGCTCTGTTCCACAGCCACAAAGACGCTGCTCTGCTGTCATTCTCAGACAAGCTTTCTATATCAGTTCCCTTGCCTTTAGAAGGACTGTGCCTGGATACTAGCCTGACTGCTTGCCATAGCAGGCTTAGTTACATCACCCACAGGTTGGGACAAGTGTACTTTGTTTCCTGTACATGCGAGTTCAATGTTGTTTTCCATGTAATGCACTCAGCTGTGATCATTGCTGTGTTTATTCAGCTTGGAAGCTCAACTTCTAATGCAGTGACTGGCACTGATCAGGTATAGAAAAATGGCAATCATTGCAAAACAAGCCCTTAATGTTCTAGTAGTGGACCTGATGTCATGTTCTCTTGTGTTATACTCAGCAATAGGATTGTAAATGGGTTCACTGCCCTATACATTCTGTACTCAATAGGATTGTATATGGGCTCTCCACCCTGTACATTCTGTACTCACTGGGAATGTATATGGGTACACCCCCCTGTACTCCATGGGACTGTATAAAAGGTACACCACCCTGTACTCAATGGGATTGTATACCGTTCTGTATACTATAAACTCTACACCTGAGCCCTATAGACCCTTCTGTGCATTCTATACTCCACTGCACACCCTCTACTATGCTGTCCATGCTGTTTGCTACCATCTCCCCAGACTGGCACTAGCTCTGCTGCACGGAGTGTGTACACACACAGGACAAGACTCGCTTCATCGCCCACAGGTGTAAGATATCTCACACGCACACAGCACGCTGTGATTTTTACGCCCAGTTGCAAACTCCTACAAGTAGTTCCCGTATGTGTTAACAGGAGACAAGCATGTGACAATGCCTTCTCCCTCCACAGACCCCACCGATGTGTGATGCACGTACTGTGCATCACACATCGGTACAGCGAGTGAACACGTGATCGAACACCTCACATGTAGGTACGCCGTACGACACCCGGGAACATTCCCACACCCCCAATCCTCTCTAGTTCTCGCTCAGTGCGGACTCAAACCTAGCGTGTCACTGCGCACTATCTCACGCGTCCTTCCCCTCTGCGCATTGACGCAATTGCTCGCAAGATGCTGCGCGCTGACGACACCCGCGGGGCGGAGCCCGTGTACGCTCAGCCCCCTTCTCCAACCTCCCGCTGGAATAGTCGGCATTGAGCGGTGGTTGTGGAGGAGCAGCGCTGTGTTTTGTCAGTGATAACCCCAGGTGAGTGAAGGACTCCACGGCTGCGCTTTTCTCTCTCCTCGTGTATAGCTATGTCCGCCGGTTTTCGCTGCCGCCTGCCCTGAGGTAATAGCAGGAGCTGACAATGTTTGCTCTAGGTGTGAGGGAATCCTTTGCGGGCGACCGCTTGTCAGAAGGGAACGCAGCTTATCGCGCCTGGCGTCTCCCATTGGCGGTTGAAGATGTCTGTCAGCGTCCCGTTGTCACTGTTACATCGGCGGACAGCGGACTGACAGCCCGGAGCGCGAGAAGGAGCAGCAGCGGCGTGTCTGTGTCTCATAGCACGAGGAGAAGTGTGACAGGAAATGGACGAGGGAGAGAGAAGACACAAGTATTTACAGAGCCCGGCATTGTATGAATGCTACGGAGTATACATGTTACTCTACCTAGTCAGGCTACTGTTCTGTGTGACCGTGTACAGTAATAGGCTGCTGGTGTACACATCACCGTGTAGTGCTCAGTGCTCACCACATAGTCAGTGTGGGGGATCACACCGTACTAGAGGGAACAGCTGGACTGACAGCCCAGGAAAGGACCACTACTTCACCATTCAGAATGTAGTCAGGCGCAAGGTCTAGGTCATTCATGCTATTCCTGGATCCAGAGTCAGTGTTTTAATAGGGGAACTTCTCTTTGTTGCTAGGTTATCCACAGTAAACATACTCACACACCCAGCAAACCCAGTATTGCTCTGCCTAAATCCGATGCTGCATGCCGGGGCCCATGCCGCCATCTTCCTTCCTTGCGTCATCAGGAGCCGGCTGTCTCTTTGGCCCCTTTAACACGGGCTGACCAGGAGGGGATCTGTGCAGGGACCCCCTTCTGATCAGGGCATTATGGAGCGGATGACACCACAGTGACATCCGTGTACATACAGTTTTCTTTCTCCACCTTGGGATGGAGGATAGAACTGAAACTGCTGGACCCCATGGCAGGCAGTCTATATGGAATTGGATGTAAATGGCCATGTGTCCATTTATATCAAATTACCCCCAATCTGGCATGATCAGGTCTGTATCCCACCCTCTTGTTCATAAATAAAGAATTTGGAAAAATAGTTACCCCCTGATCCGACACGATAATTTCTGGTGAAACGGATCTCTGATCTGTTTGTTTTTCCAGACTTGGCCGGAGTCGGGATAAGAGGATATAAATGGGCACCTGTCCGTTTACACACGGCTGCCCATACACTAACATTGGGCATCTGCTCAGGTCTGCCTGAAAAACTGAGTCGGGCCGCCCATGTGAAAAGAGCCTTTGGGTTCTTGCAGGCGCCCCCCTGACGCAATACCAAGTCCTTCCTCAAGCGCTGTGTATGCTTCAGCTGCTGCATCTTGGGATATGTGACGTGGATATCCCAGAAGGCTTATGAGGCAGGATACATGTCATTCTTGCCTAGGCAAGAATAGATACAAGGGCGGGGTGGAATATGGTGGTGTTTTACATTGTTAACTGGGGGTTACAATAATGCAAAGTGGGTGTTTGGGTGTATGTGTGAAGGACTGCTTTAAACCCCTGTTCACAGTATAGCGTGAGCATTTTCATAATAAAGCATTTTCCTTCAATTGTTCAGGCTTGAATGTTTTTGTTTTAGCCAATGGAAAGCTAGCCGATAGGAAGAGGAGATGGATGTAAAGCTGACCATACATTATGTGCATTTCAGATGGTTCTAGATCAGTGGTTCTCAACCTTTCTAGGGCCGGGACCCCTTGGTAACATTTGCCAAGTTGTGCTGACCCCAACGGTAAAATTTAGGGATGACGCGGCTGCTGCAGCGACATCTGGCAGCGTGGCGGGAGAACTGACACTGCTGCGCTAGGAGAGGGCTGAGGAGGACTCTCACCTAGCACAGCAGAAATCACATAGCGACCCACAGGTTGAGAACCACTGGCGTACTCCGTCAGAAAAAACCAACCATAGGAATGCATAGCTAGATTCCTATTGGCTATATCGTTTTGCAATAGCAAACTAGCTATTGCACCCGCCCTCTGCTGCTATCAGTCACTAGAAGAGGACCTGATGGAGAACTGCAGGTCCCCATTAGCTGATTGGCAGCAGCAGAGGCTATTGCAAAGTGAAATAGCCAATAGGAATCTAGGTATTCATTCCTATGGGTTTTTTCCTGACTTATGGCAGCCCCGATGTCACAAGGAGAAAAAAAAAACAGATCGCAGGGAAAGGTTTACTCTGCTCGATCGAGCAGAGTAAATCTTTCCGGGAAAAGGGTTTTTCTCCCGGGAGGCCGGTAGCTGCTATCTATCAGCGAGAGACTCCCGGGCGACCCCTGGCAAATCGTCATTCTACCTCCAACGGGGTCGCGACCTACAGGTTGAGAACCGCTGTTCTAGATGAACTGGCCAAAATTTGCACAGTGGTTGCCAATATCAGCACCCTTTTGGGTGGTATACCGCAATCAGCCAATGGCTGTCAGAATACAAAAGGAAAGCGGGGATTCCTCGATCAACACACTCATAGCATTGATGGAGGAATCTTTTATTTTTTTTCATTAAGCCCCTAGGTATGTATGTCTAGCTTTAGGCCCCATATGGCGGGTACAGATCAGTGCAGATTTTTAAAAGGCGGTTTTCGGCGATTTGAAATGGCGTTTCAGAGCTAAAACGCAATTAAAAACTCCCCAAACCGTGCTGGAGGAAAAAACTTAAATGACCAGATCCCATGTCGGTCTATGGGGAATCATGTGTCTGTTTACATCAGATTACCCCCGATTCGGCACAATCAGGTCCATTGAAATAGAACAATGTCTGGCTGGGGGTGAGCTGATGTGAACAGATGCCCATTCGTTTAGACCCGGCTTCCTATAGACTTTGAGCATTCGATCGGGTCCGCCTGAAAGACTGACCATTGGACCACTCATCTGAATGGGGCCTTTATGTGTTGGTTTGGTTTTAAGTTATTTCATACATTTAGTTATAAAAGCCAACCAACAGCAGTGAAAATGACATATTTGTGCACTCAGTCTTTGTGGGGTTTGCTTGCTGTGGCTGTGTCGCATCCACTGATATCGTCCTTGGTTTTTGACAGTCGGGTAAAAGCTGTGCTTCAGGCAGATTTTTTTTTTTAACAAAACCATTGAAGCAGGGCTGTACAAACCCCAGGAGCCAGGTAGCCATTGCTTCCTTAGGCCTGGTTCACACCTGGGCGTTTTGTAGCACGTTCGAACGCTCTGCATAACGCTCAAACACCGTAATCCCATTATTTCCTATGGGTATGGTTCACACCTGGGCGTGTTACAGGCCGTATGAACGCGCTACAAAACGCCCTACGCCCAAAGAAGTACATGAACTTCTTTGGGGCGTTTTTGTCGCGCGTTTCCATTGGGATACAGCCAAGTAGCTCGTGACAAACGCGCATATTCGATACGCCTAGGTGTGAACCCAGCCTA